TGGGAAGAATCACATACTGTGGGCTAAATCTGTAGCAATTTTTCTCAAAGGCGGAGGTCTTGGTACTCATCTGACTAAAGATAAACTCAAGGAAACTGATGCTTCTTTTGATGCATGGGAAAAGGAAGATGCTCAGATCATCTCTCTGATGTTAAACAGTATTGAACCCCAAATCAGTTCAACTTTACTTTATTTGGATACTGCCAAGGAGATATGGAACAGATTACAGCAACTGTTGGGACAGGTAATATCACTCATGTTTATGAGCTCTGTAAGCAGTACTTCAATCTTAAACAAGGTAATCACAGTATAGAAGAGTATTATTCCAAAGTTATGGGAATCTGTGAGGAGCTGAATATGTATCAGCCCATTACTACTGATGTTCGAAGTATGCAACAACAGCGTGAGGACTTTAATGTTGTCCGTTTTCTTACTGGTTTGTCATCAGCATATGAGTCTTTTCGTGCACAGATTATGGGCAGTCCCACACTTCCATCTCTTGCTGAGGTGTTTTCTCGACTTCAGCGCGCTACACTTGCAAGTGACACCTTAAATTTGAATACTGGGCAGAGTGGTGAGCGTTCAGCATTGGTAGTTTCAAAGGGTGAACATAATACTTACCATGGAGGTCGTGGGGGACGCTCCACACGTGGTGGTCATGATTCACGGGAAGGACGTGGCCGTGGCAGGGAATCATGAAAATGTACTCATTGTGGCCTTTCTAATCATACTGTGAACACTTTTGTTGGGACCTTCACGGCAAACCATCTAGTTATGCAAATCAAGTTTTCTCCTCTTCGAATGATGTTGCTTCTAGATCTCACAATGTAGCTAAATCAGATACGGTCGCTGTTCCACGAGATGAGTATACTCAGTTTTTGTCTTATAAGCAAGCATCTAATTCATCTTCCATGGCTACCTTTGCCCAATCAGGTACTACACACACGTGTATATTGTCTTCCACTCGCAGTCCTTGGATCATAGACACTGGAGCATCCGATCATATGACTGGATGTTCTTCTCTTCTATCTGAATTTAATTCTGTACCTCCTTCTCAAAGTGTTACTCTTGCTAATGGTTTAAGGTTTCAGGTTTGGGGACAACTTAACTTAGTGATTCCTTGTCTCTCTCATCTGTTTTATATGTTCCTCAATTTCCTTTTAATTTAATGTCTATCAGTAAGCTTACTAAATCTCTTTAGTGCTCTGTTACATTTAATCCTACTTCATGTGTGTTTCAGGATCTCAAGACAAAGAAGAAGATTGGTACGGGCATGAAGCTGGTGGCTTATATTATTTTGATTTGGAACCTTATCCTATGGCTCTTCAGTCTTCTCTGTCTCCATTCCAGTGGCACTGTCGTCTTGGTCACCCGTCACTTCAAGTTTTGCAGTGTCAAGTTCCTAGTCTTAGTCATTTGAAATTCTTGTCATGTGAAGTTTGTCAACTTAGTAAGCACTATCGCGTGTCTTTCAAGTCTAGGGTTAATAATCGTGTCTCTAGTCCTTTTCATTTGGTTCATTCAGATGTATGGGGTCCAATAAAGCATTCTTCAATCAATAAATTTCATTATTTTGTGACATTTGTGGATGATTATTCTCGCCTGACTTGGTTGTTTATAATGAAAGATCGTTCTGAGTTATTTTTAATTTTTCAAAAATTTCAAAAAGAAATCAAAACTCAGTTTGGATGCCCAATTCGTATTCTACGTTCTGATAATGCTAAGGAATATTCTTCAACCCCATTTGATACATATCTTAGTGATAAAGGAATTATTCATCAAAATTCATGTGTTTATACTCCTTAACAAAATGGAGTTGTAGAACGTAAGAATCGACACCTCTCAGAAGTAACCCGTGCTCTTTTGTTTCATATGCGTATGCTTAAACGGTTTTGGTGTGATGCTGTTCTTACTGCCTGTCATCTTATTAATCGTATGCCGTCATCTGTATTAGATAGCAAATCTCCACATTCTATTTTATTTCCAGATTCTCCCTTGTTTTCTCTTACTCCTAAAGTTTTTGGATGTGTATGTTATGTCCACAATCTTAATCCTGGTTTTGATAAACTAGACCCACGTGTCACAAAGTGTGTATTTCTTAGCTACTCTCGTTCTTATAAAGGTTATCGCTGCTATAGTCCTGTTTCTCAAAGGTACTTTATTAGCGCAGATGTAACCTTTTGTGAGTTCATCCCATATTTTTCAGATACTGATTCACTTCTTGATATCACTCTTGAGTTGCCTCATCCTGCTGTTCCTCTTCCCTCACTTTCTCTTCAACCTAGATCTCCTTCGCCTGTCCCGTTACAGGTGTACACTTGAAGACTAAAGCCATCTGCTGTCGTGCCTCCTCCATTGTCTTCAGAGTCTTTGGATCCAACGCATTCCACTGTGTCTAATTCCTTGCCTATTGCACTTCGTAAAGGTCCTCGCTCGTGTGTCACTAAACATCCCATTGCTCATTATGTCTCTTATATTTCCTTATCGCCATCATTCTCATGTTTTTCCTCTCAGTTGTCTACTACATTTGTTCCTAAGACTGTGTAGGATGCTTTGTCTGATTCGGGCTGGAGGAAAGCAATGCAAGATGAAATGGATGCTTTGCATCAGAATGGCACGTGGAATCTTGTTCCATTACCTCCAGGTGTCGCTGGGTATATACTGTGAAGTATCTTCCAGATGGGTCCGTTGAGCGTTTAAAAGCACGTCTTGTTGCTAAAGGTTATTGACTATGATGAGACGTTTGCCCTCGTTGCTAAGATTTCTTCTATTCGTGTTTTGATTTCTCTTGCTGCTAATAGACATTGGCCTTTGTTTCAGTTGGACGTTAAAAATGCCTTTTTGCATGGTGACTTAGCAGAAGTGGTTTATATGGAGCAACCACCTGGGTTTGTTGCTCAGGGGGAGTATCTTCACACTGTCGCCTTAAAAAGGCCCTGTATGGATTGAAACAATCTCCACAGGCTTGGTTTGGAAAATTCTCTGAGGCGGCATTAAAATTTGGTCTCAACAGATGTCAGACTGACCATTCAATATTTCATCAGCGCACAAAAGCTGGCTTCATATTTCTTATGGTGTATGTAGATGATATTGTGATCACAGGTGATGATTCTGAAGGCATTGCTAAGTTGAAGTTGTTTCTGCAATATTGATTCCACACTAAAGACTTGGGTAAACTTAGGTATTTCTTGGGTATTGAAGTTGCTAGATCCAAGACGGGTATAAGTTTATCCCAACGAAAATATGTGTTGGACTTATTAGAAGAAACAGGTATGTTGGGTGGTCATCCGGTTGATGCTCCTATAGATTCAAATACAAAACTTGTGTCTGATGAGGGTGATTTGCTTAATGACCCGGGCAGATTTCATCGCCTTGTTGGGAAATTAATTTATCTTACTATCACTCGACCTGATATTTCATATGCAGTTAGTGTTGTAAGTCAGTTCATGGGAGCTCTTAAAATGTCACATTGGATTGCTGTTCTTCGGATTATCCGATATCTCAAGCAAGCTCCAGGTTTTGGGTTACTATACAAATCAAATGGTCATCTCAGGGTGGAAAGTTTTACAGATGCCAACTGGGCTGGTTCTCCTTCAGATAGGAGATCTACTACAGGCTATTGTACATTTGTAGAAGGAAATCTTGTTACATGGCGAAGTAAAAAGCAAACGGTGGTAGCTCAATCTAGTGCTGAAGTTGAGTGTAGGGCAATGGCCCATACCACTAGTGAGTTGACATGGATACAACATTTTCTAAAAGAACTTAGGTTGACAGTTGAAGCTCCTACTCCATTATTCTGTGATAATCAAGCAACAGTTCACATTGCATCAAATCCTGTGTTTCATGAGAGGACCAAACATATTGAAGTTTATTGTCACTTCATTCGAGAAAAAATATTACACGGGAGCATCTCTACACCATTCGTGAAGTCTGAAGATTAATTAACTGATATGTTTACCAAAGCATTGGGTCATAACCGGTTAAGAACTATCTGTTCCGAGCTAGGATTATTTGATATATATTCTCCAGCTTAAGGGGGAGTGTTAGAATGTTATATATATATATATATATATATATATGTTGGGTCATTATGTAATTACATTTAGTGATAGGGCCCTTGTGTTATTAAGTAAGACTCGTACCCTTTATATAAGCCTACATAGGCTTCTTAGGTTTGGTGTTGAATATACAAGAAATATATGTCTGCTCTCTCTCTCTCTCTCTCTCTCTCATGATTTTGATCAATCACATAGACAATCAGAATCAAGTTTGTGACCTGCCATCTCTTAAATCATGTTAACAACAATTGCACTAAGATCTTAAGCTTTAAATTATGGTCCATTGGTAGTACAATCATAAGAAAGTCAAGCTTAGATAAAACACCAAATATGGCCTGGAGCATATTTTTAATGGATCCATGCTACAGCAACCTTTATGAGCTGTTGCAACCTATAGTATAAGAGCTACACAAGCAAAAGCCTCTACTGAATCCTAGGCCAGCTTTTAGGACCATCTACAACCATGCTGAAGGATTTGCATGATTAAATGGTCTTTGGAAGGCAAAGCAAGATGTTAATAGAGATACTATCACAGATAGGATTCTTCCATGTCATGGCTATGTTGTAGTAGTCAAAGACATCCGATCTATTAAAGATAATTTCAGTAGGATTTCTTTTCACATATGATTCAGATCCAAAGAGAAGGTAACCTCGAGGCTGATAATCTTGCTCATAGTGGTCATAGAGCTCAACTGAGTCCAATTTAGGCCAACAATTTCTCGTATAATGAGTGCAAAATTGTGGCAGAATGTGAGAGGCATTGCTAGACATGTACACTTGGCTATGGTATAGATAGAATCTCTTTTACCGATCCCCTCCCATGAGAAAAGAAAAAGATATACGAGTAATATATAAATGTATACATATAGAGAGAGAGAGTATGAATATCAACATCATTGACAAGTAAACATTCCAAGAAATGAATTCAGTGATATAACATACTGATGCACAGCAGAATCCTGACACTTAACACAGTAGATTAGAAGTTTAATTTCGCCTTCGTCACCACAAGTCTGACACACAGTCATCTGAAACAAAAATATACAAAGTTATTTGCTTTTTATAACACATAAGTTGCAGCGTTAAAGAGAAGTTATTTTAGGTGTCAAAAAATAAAAATAAAAGATACAAGACAACAGTCTCATGACTATAAATTCTTTACACCACGCCTTTGATTCATATGAGCTATGCCAAATATTTAACACACACAAAAAAGGGGACGAGGCGCCCGGCGCGCGGGGGGGGGGGGGGCGGCGGCGGTGGGGTTGAATTTAAAAAGTTGAGCCATCTGCTATTTTGGAAATTTTAAGTGAGCAGAATAAATAGCTATCATTTAATTTTAAATAGCCGATTTCACATATTTGTTTAAAGATTTGACAGAAGTATGCATGCACAAATACACACATATAATATAAACACTCAAACACAACACAAACACCCACAAATTATGATTGCAAATAGAAACCAATCAGGTTTTAACCGATACAGTCTGAAGCCAACAAAATATACAAGTTGAATAAGTTTTATTAGGTGATAGACATAGAACCTACCAAATTATTTCAGATACCCTTTAATAACAGATCTACATATTTCTACAAGATTTCTATTTCTCCCCAAGCTGCAAAAAAATACCAAACAATCTTGTTTGTTCTCAATCAAACTAATTTGAATCCTTCCTACATATGAATCAAATGATTTATTGATTAGTAGAATAATAAATAAGATTCATTAATCTAATTGAATATTTTTTTATGATCTCTCAACCAAAAATACAAACCCATCATAGTGTTCAACCTTGTTAGCCGAACCACATCTGTAGAGTTGGATCTTTAGCCTAAAGCTATGTCTGGGAGTACCGAATCTACACCTTAAAATTGGAATTGGGATTTAAATTTTGGCTTAGTTTAGTTTAAATTAAATTTCCTCTAACTCTAATCCCAAATCCAAATGCAACATAAAGAGTTTTAAAACTGCACATGCTAGTCCCACAAACTCATGGCACAAGAAAAGCAACACAACCAATTCAGAAAGTAGCGGTACCAACCCAAGCCATCCAAAATGTAAAATTTAAAATAAAATATAAAAAATAAAAAAAAGATTCAAGTATATCAATCAATAGTAAAAAATTAGTTGAATTTTTTAAAAGATAATTCAAGAACAGTCCGTTCGCTTGCTGAGAAAAAATTACAGGAAAATAAAATGCTGAATCCTATTTTTCAAGTTGTACCTACATTGATTTTAAGAATATGCAAAATAAATCAATATGCCAATCAACCATCAACTAAGCCAAGGAGTGGTATTACATTGAATATTTTAGTTTATTTTCGCATCAATCAAACAGAACATTCTGGAAAGAAATAAAAAAAAATAAAAATAAAACTCCCATGGAAAAGAAATCAAACTCCAAAAATTTCATCGCAAAAACAAATCCGCATTGCAGAGACCAAAAAAAAAATGTTAAAAGCACTTATAAATACATATATAGGTGTGTATACATATATTAAATTAAATTTACAATTTGAACTAAATTTCCTTCAACACTCTCTCTCTCTATATATATACTCAATCTCCAATTCTAATTTAAAGAAGCGATTTGATGATGCAAACAGAACAAAAAGGCAATTAAAGTTCATCAAAACAATTATTTACCCAAAAAAAAGCTCATCAAAACAAATATAGAATTTAAAATGATAACAAAAATGAAATAGAAGATATATAAACTCACTAACAAATACGTAGAAGACATAAAGTCACAAATTAGTGTTAAATAATAGAGAGATGGCGATACAGAAATTGAAATGCGAGATATACGTTACCGTCCTGACTCCAAACTGGTACGAAGAAGACTCCAAACTGGTACAGTAGTTTGGTTTTATTGCACGATTCCAATACGCGACGGCCCACTACTCCTCCTAGTGGAAATAGCGGAGCACGTCTCGTCATAATAAGGGAGGCCGCGGAGCACCGTCAAGGATGTTGGTGTCTGGAATAGTGTGTGTGTATATATATATTTTTTGCTTTTTAGAATTTTGTAGTGTGGAATTTCGTAGGGCGCTGTCTAATCCATAGGGCAGTCTTTGTTTCACATTACGAGTCTAGAGTTCCTAGTCACTAACTCCAATCGCGGATACTAGTAAGAAGTTCACATTGGGCTTGATGAAAAATCACAATTAAAAATAAATACTAATATTTATGAAATAATTTATTGATGCAATAATATTATGATAAATAGTGTATTTGAAATATTTTAATACTATTTTGTTATGAAAAATATTTTGATGTTAGGCCGAACAATTTTGATTGGGCAATAATGTAAAAAATATAAAGAATTGAAAACTTCCACTATTTATGTTGCAAACATAACCAATTACTCCGTAAAACTCTTGGCTCAACAATTTACTTTTAACTCATTTGCCTAAATAATATTACCCTTCCATTATACCAAGATCCGTGTGGCTAGTGGTAGGGCTGAAAGTTGGCGACAATCGGAACCAGCATTTTTCTAGGTAGAACGGGCTAACCCGATTTTTTTTATTTTTTTATTTTTTTTATTTTTTTGCAATAGCAAACAAATATGCAAAATATACATGTCATGCACTGTATATATTATTTATATATATAATATATATTATGAAAAAAAAAAAAAAAAAAGACAAAGGAAGGTAAGAGCTGGGTCCTTCGCCTAGTTCTTGCTAAGGCTGTGACCTCCTTTTTGGTTTGCATGTTTTTTTTTTTTTCTTTAGGTAAATTTTCGTTTGTATGTTGTTTATTCCACGCTCCCTCTTTTTCTTTTATTTGATTCCCTATTTCTATCTTGTAGGTGTATTGTATTAATTACTGTATTTCAAAATTGGATCTTGGGGGTAAACGCACTGCGGTTGTTGTTCTTTCTGTGAACCAGAGCTGTCGGATCTTTTTTATTACTGCCACGTGCATACTGTAAAGCACCGTCTCAACAAAAATTATCCATCATTTTTGGATTTCTGCCGATTGAAGTCCGACGTTAATTGCTCATTCGATCCTACTACTGTCGCTTATCTGGACCCTTTTTCCGTGCCTACGGGGATGGATTTTGCACCCCCATCGTAGCCGGTACATTTGCCACTGGTCTCCCACCAGAGTTGACTACTTATTGGCATATAAAAATAGCAGTTCAATGGGCAGCCACTTCAATGATGGCATGGTGCAATGAAAAGAGGACAAGTGGACTAAATCATGTCCAATATTGAAGTAATACATGTCAACATTGGAAGGAAAAGGAATTCCAGCATGCATGAAACACCTGGCAGAATAAGAAAAGTAAATATGGCAGGATGATGACTGGTGGCACCGAATCGTGGAAAGGCTACTTCCTAAAATCAAGGAGGACGTGGGTTAAATGAGTTGGACATGCATAAAACTTCTAAAAACTGTCAACTCAGTTTAGAAGTCCCTATCTTCAAGGAGTTTAAAATCAAGGAGTAGATAAGAAAAGTGTTCGGCTCACGAAAAAGCTAGAGTGTTCCCCCTTCCACTCGAGTGGAAAGGGTCGTCGGGCGTGCCAGGTGATGAGCGTTGAAAAGTGCGTATTTAAACTCCCTAAGCTCGAGTATTCTGGGACCTTTATCTATCTTATTTTCCCATTTTAGACTAATTTCGTGTTATTGCCCTTTTCAGGCACTTATCTCCAAAATAAGTCAATTCAGCTAAATTAGAACATAAAAGAAGCAATCTCAAGCTAAATGGAAGAAAGGAGTAAAGTGAAAACAAAGTGGTGAAAAACAGCAAGTTTCGATCGATCTCACAGTGATCGATCCAGCCTTGTCAAGATGGATCGAGCCTCTTGTCCTTATCCCCAAGAATTTCCATCTTCGATCGATCTAACTTCCTTTCGATCGATCGAACTTATTTGATCTTATCCCCACTTACCACTTTTGTCTTTTTCCTAAAATATCCCAAAAATATCTCAGATTTGTCTTATTCCAAAAAGGCGTTGCCATGGTTCGATCGATCTCATCAGAATTTGATCGATCGAACTTCCTCAAGTTAAAAAAAAAAAAAAAAAAAAAATAGACTCCAGCTCATTAAAAAAGGGCTCATGGTGCAATCATCGAAGGGGCCCTAGTGCATGAGGCCTGACCATTGGGTGTGACACTTGAGCTACCTATATAAGGATTTTGAGTCATTTATACACAAAAGGAGGAATAAGAAGATAAAGGGAGATATACAATCTTAGAGAGAGAGGCTAAAGGAGTCTAGAGATTAGAGAGATACACACCATTTGGGAGTTCTTCCATTCATCTAGGGTTTCCATCAAAAAGAATATCATTCCTACCATGGAGATGACCCTTGAAGGTTGGATGACTACATTAATGAGTGGCTAAACATCTTCTTGGGGCTAGAGTTAGTCCTAAGCATGCTTTCTAGATCTTGATGTTTTGTATTTTGAGGGGATTTATGTTGTAATTCTTGTCTTGACATTTGATTTATATATGAATCTTGTTTCTACAATGATTTGTGTTATTTAATACTTCCAATTGATCATTTCATTCTACTCATATGTCTATGTATGTTAGAATTAGATGTTCATGTGTTTATCTCTAGGTTTTGTGTTATTTATGCATGTCTATGTGTGTTGATGCTATGGATCTAGAGATGTCAAGGTATGGTGCTTTAATGGAATACTCTTGTGATTTGTTTGATGGTTTATACTAATTTCTTGATAAATTGTGCCTCTACCTTAGTTTAATTAGTTTAATTTTCATACCCATAGTTTAGTTGTAGTGTAGTTGCCTTACTTTCTTAGATGGGAGGACAATTCATGCTTGTTATTTGATATTCTATGCATATGAATGCAAGTACTATAATTCTCTATCTTGTTAATGTGTTTTGATATTGAGCTTAAAGGAAGAAATGTTAGGCGCTGAATGTTATACATTTTAGCCCCTTTATTCGTATGTTTTATTCTCTTAATAATAGTTTATTTGTGATTTTACATTATTTTATTATTTTTATTTATTTCAGGGCTTTAATTGTAAAATCAGTCAAGACTAGTAATTCTGAGCTTTAAAAGATGACATTCCATGGGACCGAGCAATGTTGAAGATCCAAGTCTAATTATACTTAGAAAATGATCCAAAGAAGTTACAAGTTGATGAGAATGAAAGAAGAAGAAAAGGAAAAATCTTTTTCCAAAAAGGAAACTTTCGCCAAAGTTGGTAACTTAAACCCGTTTTGGTAATCTAGCTGTATCTCTCTCCTCAAGCATCAAAACAGCTAAATTCCCACGTTAGTTGATAGGAAATTCGAAGAGCTACAATTTTGTGTTTCACGAGCTTTCCCTAAAACAACTGTTTACCTTGTCAAAATTGGCCTAAAAGTCTGCACGAATTTTGGGAGTCCTTCTTCGACATAATTTCTATGTATGTGTCCTATACGAAAAAGGGAACTATGGGGCTGATATTTTATTATTTAAAGGGGGTCCTCTATAACATTGAAGAATACAGAGGAGCTTGAGGCTGAGATCAGAGAGGAGAAGTATTCAGAAGAAAGAAGAGATTAATCCATGGCGGTGAAGATGTCTTCCTCAATTATGAAGAATTCCACCCCAGTCATGCTTGGCTAAACGCTTTGCTAGGGTTGTGATGTAGCCCTAGCTTAGCACCCTGGTTTGATTGTATTTAATTATTGGAGAATAATTTTTATCATGCATAATTGTGTAATCTATAGGGTTTTTAATTGAATTTTCAATAAGAATCGGTTTTAGAGTTTTAATTCAATTACAAATATTTTTCTATCTTGTCTTAGATATTTTGATCTTGTGATTGAACTCAACTCATTTGCTTCTTATAGTTGTGAATGAGATGATTATACAATGGTATTTCTCTGAATATAATGTTAGAGATTTGATGAATTATGTCTAGAAAAGATAGACCATGCTACACCCTAGAGTAAAGTAGATAGGTAGATGATTTATACCAATTGAAGATAGTCCATACTTAGCTTTGAATTATATTATTTTCTAGTTGAATTAATATGTTCTTGTAGCTATGATTAATTCTCTATGCATGTTATATGATATATCTCCAATAAATTGATGCAATTAAGTGGTGGTGCGACGTTAGTGGTGAAGTCATACCCCTAGTCCTCTCTCTCTATTTTCTACATCATATTTAACCATTATTCTTTAGTTTATTTTATTTTTCTACTTAGTTAATTTAGAATTAATCATCACGATTCGATTATCCTACTTTCAAGTTAATTTGGAATTTAAGAAATCTGTTGACAAACTAATTTTACACAAGTCCCTTGGGTACGACACCCTGACAAGTAAACCCTATCTACAAAGATTCGTGCACTTGCGAGTGGTATATATAAATCTCACAACAAGGAATAATGGCTTGGTTTGATATAGTGTCATTCATTATGTTGTCTAGACAATGTATACTTAATTAGTCATCTATGCGTGTTGATTCAATTAATCACACATATTAGTATTGCAACATATATTTCCCCTCATTCACTACACATTGAGCGTTTAGAAAGGTGATGTTTAGTGATGACCTCTAAATCCCAAGATCCTTCTTTCTTATTGTAATGACCCGGTCATTTTTCTTCCTTTCTTTTTTTCAGATTTTCACGGATATTTTTTTTTTTTTTTCCGTTGTATTTTCTTTCTGTGTTCAATATCTCGCCACTTAGTGTTATATTGAGTGCTCGGGAATGGTTTCCGATACTTTTTCCTTTGGATTGACGACTTCCTTTAAGGACCGAATTATTTTCACATTTTCACTTCTATGACACTATTCACTTTTGTCTTTTTCCCGTTTGTCACTTTGTTGACACAACCTCACTTTTTGTGTTTAGATTTGATTCCAGTTTTGCATGCATCCACGATATTTAAATTCCATGCCATATGTATTTTTACTTTCTTAGAAAAGCATGCTAAATGTTTATTTTTCTTGTAAAGGGTATGGATGCATAACTTTTTGATAATTTTCTTAACTTTTGGGGTTTTATTATAATTATGTAAAGTAATTATTTTTCATCTTAGAGACCATTTTGCAATTTAATTTGGAAGATATT